TCGCTCATGTTTATATTGGTGGAAAGCTGAACCTTATTCTATGCTCCAGCAGAGGTGGGCGGGTGAGCCTTTTGACGGAGAATGGTGTGACAGAGAGCAACAAGATGCTACCCACAGCTATGTGTGAAGCACACCTCCCCTCGTCGGTGATGAGGCTCAGTTCTGGCTCTGATAAGTCACCCCTTTCCACTACTTCTCAGGTATTCTATGGTACTGCGATGAATGGCACAGTTTATCGTTTCTTGACTATTGGTGAGAAGGAGTGGCGCCTTCTACGCTTTCTGCAGGACTTATGCATCCGTGATCCTATGATTTGCCCATTCATTCCCAAGAGGAGAAGACAGCGCAATACAGTCGGGCTGATGGACCCTCAGCCATCTCAAATGCATATTGACGGTGACATTCTCAGCCGCTTGCTCATACGTGGGTCTGGCTATCTAATGCAGATGCTAAGTAAGGAGACGCTCGGTGGTCCGACAGCTGCAGGCATCCGCTCAGAGCAGGGAGTCCCCGAGCAATTTGCGGAATTGACAAGACACGTACTGGGAGAAACAAGCGATGCTGTTGCGAGCGTTATGAGATGGCTGCAGCGGATTCTCCCGATGGATGTCTAGGGATTATCTACAATTTCGTTCGTGAAGGACAAAATTTGGCAGCATGCTATATATAGAATTATACTGTGTACATAGATGCTTAATTTTTGACGCAAATTGAATGCAGCCAGCAGCTTAATAGTACGAAGGTGATTATTGTGTGCCAGTCGCGAACAATAAGAGCGCGGGCCACCGGCGGCCTCTCGCATAATAATCCGGCGATTGTCCCCACCAAACGCCCGGCCCAAAATTCTTATTACCCCAAAGGCAACTCGTCCTTCCCGCCTCATCGAGTCTCCAACCTTTGGATCTTTATCGACCACCAGGGGGGAAAACGGTTGCTTGTTTTTCGCTCTTTCTTTTCTTTCCATTCTTCACGATCCCTTTGGAAGGATTTTTTTCTTTTCGGGCTTATCTTTCGCCACTCTTTGCCTTCCGCAGATCGCGCGGGCCGGAGAAAGCTGATACCTCATTGTTAGTGCGCACTACCACCATCAACCTGCATTCATCCTCATTGCCTGCCGACGTCGCTCGGTCACATAATACCGTCTTATATTCACTTGACTAACGGTTCAACACTTTCTATATAGGCTAATTCCATCTACATATCCAACTAAAGGAATAAAAGCGAGGTCGACCGAATCCTCCACCTATCAATATGGCGCCCAAGAAGAAGGGAAACAAGAGGCAAGAGGAGGACTGGGAAGCTGAGCTCGGAGAGTCCGTCCCTGCTCCCGGTGGCGAGGCTGAAGCTCCCGCTGCTGAAGAAGGTGCTGCCGACGATGATGCTGGCATGGGCGGTGGTGGTTTGCTCGCCGCTTTGAGGAAGAACAAGAACAAGAAGGCGAAGAAGGGAAAGCCGGTCAACGACTTCGTTGAGGGTGAGGATGCCACTCAGGAGGCCAACGGCGATGCCGACTTCGCTAGCAAGCAGCCTGAGGAGGGTACCTTCGATGATGACGATGTGTTCGCCGGAAAGGCTAAGCCTAAGAAGGCTGCTGCTGCGCCTGAGCCCAAGCCCGCTGAGGAGGAGGAGGGTGGCTTCCGTGTGAAGTCTAAGAAGGAGAAGGAGCGCGAGAAGAAGGAGCGTGAGAAGCAGCGTAAGAGGGAGCAGGTATGTTTCTTGCGCTTTTGCGGCTCTTTCATCATTGCGTGATCGTGTCGAACTAATAGGTCTATCTCGTTTTCTAGGCTGCCAAGAAGAAGACCGCCGCCCCCGCTGAGAAGGCTCAGCCCGCTAAGGCCGAGCCTGAGAAGAAGGAGGAGGCTGCCCCCGCCCCCGCTGCTGCCCCCGTTCCGGAGACCGGTGGCAAGAAGAAGAAGATCCCTGCACACCTGCTGGCTATCCAGAAGCAACAGGAGGCTCTCCGCAAGCAGCGTGAAGAGGAGGAGCGCTTGTTAGCCGAGGCGCAAGCCGCTGAAGAGGAGAGACTCCGTATTGAAGAGGAAGAGGAGAAGAAGCGGGAAGAGGCCCGCCAAAAGAAGAAGGAGAAGGAGAAGGAGAAGAAGGAGCAGCTTCGTAAGGAGGGTAAGCTGCTCACCAAGGCCCAGAGAGAAGCCAAGGAGCGCAATGAGCGGCGCATGCAGCAGATGCTTGCAGCTGGTATCGGTAAGGTTGCTGGTCTGGAAGAGGGCCAGGCCGAGAAGAAGCGCCCTGTTTACGAGAACCGGAAGAAGCGTGGGCCCAAGAAGCAGGAGGATGACCTGGAAGCTGCTGCTGCCCGCGCCAAGGCGCAGCGTGAAGCTGAAGAGGAGCGCAGAAGAAAGGAGGAGGAAGAGAAGAAGGCCAAGGCTGAGGCTGAGGCTGCTGCTGCCGCCGCCGCCGCTGGCGGAAAGGAGAGCGAACTCGATGACTGGGAGAAGGCTGCCGATGCCGAGGAAGTGAAGGACAGCTGGGATGCTCCTAGCGACGAGGAAGAGGAGAAGCCCGCCGCCAATGGCAAGGCTGACGAGAAGCCTGCCGGCAAGCAGGCTGAGGAGGATGAGAGTGAGGATGATTCCGATGATTCCTCTGACGAGGACTCTGAGGACGAGGAGCAGTCCGCGGCACAGAAGGCTATTGCTCAGCGCAAGGCCGAAGCCGCCGAGCGGAGAAAGAAGCAGCATGAGGAGGCTATGGCCGCGCGCTCCAAGGACAACCTCCGTTCTCCTATTTGCTGTATTCTGGGTCACGTCGATACCGGTAAGACCAAGTTGCTGGATAAGATTCGTCAGACAAACGTCCAGGAAGGTGAAGCTGGTGGTATTACGCAGCAGATCGGTGCTACCTACTTCCCTGTCGATGCTCTGCGTCAGAAGACTGCCGTGGTGAACAAGGATGGCCAGTTTGATTTCAAGATCCCTGGTCTGCTCATCATTGATACTCCTGGTCACGAGTCCTTCTCCAACTTGCGTTCGAGAGGTTCCTCCCTCTGTAACATTGCCATCCTGGTTGTCGATATCATGCACGGTCTTGAGCCCCAGACCCTTGAGTCCATGAGGTTGCTCCGCGATCGCCGTACTCCTTTCATCGTCGCTCTGAACAAGATCGATCGTCTGTACGGCTGGAAGAAGATCGACAACAACGGCTTCCAGGAGAGTTTGGCCTTGCAGAACAAGGGCGTTCAGAATGAGTTCCGCACTCGTTTGGAGCGCACCAAGGTCTTGTTCGCTGAGCAGGGTTTCAACTCGGAGCTGTTCTACGAGAACAAGTCCATGGCCCGCAACGTCTCTCTCGTGCCCACCTCCGCCCACACCGGTGAAGGTATCCCTGACATGCTCAAGCTGTTGACCACTCTGACCCAGGAGCGTATGACGAACTCTCTGATGTACCTGTCCGAGGTTGAGTGTACTGTTCTTGAAGTCAAGGTCATTGAGGGTCTCGGTACTACCATTGACGTTGTCCTGTCGAACGGTATCCTCCGCGAGGGTGATCGAATCGTCTTGTGTGGTCTAAACGGTCCTATATCAACGAATATTCGAGCGTTGCTGACGCCGGCTCCTCTCAAGGAACTGCGTCTCAAGTCTCAGTACGTGCACAACAAGGAGGTCAAGGCTGCCCTTGGTGTTAAGATTGCCGCCAACGACCTTGAACAGGCCATTGCCGGTTCTCGTTTGATGGTTGTCGGACCGGATGATGACGAAGAGGACATTGAGGAGGAGGTCATGTCCGATCTGGAGAACCTGCTCAGCAAGGTCTCCAGGGACCAGCGTGGTGTCAGCGTGCAGGCCTCCACTCTTGGATCGCTGGAAGCTCTGCTCGAGTTCCTCCGTGTCTCCAAGATTCCCGTCGCCAACATTTCTATCGGTCCTGTGTACAAGCGTGATGTCATGATGGCTGGTACCATGTTGGAGAAGGCTAAGGAGTACGCCGTTATGCTGTGTTTCGATGTCAAGGTGGACAAGGAAGCAGCTGCCTATGCTGATGAAGTTGGCGTCAAGATTTTCACTGCCGACATCATCTACCACCTGTTCGATGACTTCACCAAGCACATGGCTGAGCTGACGGAGCGCCGCAAGGAGGAGAGCAAGATGCTTGCTGTCTTCCCCTGCGTGCTCAAGACCGTGGCTGTTTTCAACAAGAAGGACCCCATCGTCATTGGTGTTGATGTCGCAGAAGGAAGTCTGCGTCTGCACACTCCTATTGCGGCTGTCAAGGCTAACCCTGAGACTGGCGCTAAGGAAATTATCGACCTTGGTAGAGTGTAAGTTTTTGTCCCTGTTATCCCTACCTTCCAATTACTGATTGCGCATACAGTGTCTCGATTGAGCGTGATCACAAGCCCATCCAGGTCTGCAAGAGGGGTCAACCCTCCGTGGCCGTCAAGATCGAGGGAAGCAACCAGCCCATGTACGGTCGTCAGCTCGAAGACAAGGACACCCTGTACTCGCACATCTCTCGTGCCAGTATCGACACCCTCAAGGAGTTCTACCGCTCCGACGTCTCCATGGAGGAGTGGGGTCTCGTCAAGAAGCTTAAGCCTGTCTTTGACATCCCATGATCGCCTTACCCGTTCCTTCTGTAGTCCGGATGCCGAACCCAGCCCTACGCATGGCCCATCGATCACAGGCCCTGGGCACTCACTTGAGTACAGCGTGGCGGGGTTATGGCGTTTGGTAACGGGCTCCGGCATGCCATATACGTGGTATTGTACAGCGGTTTCAAGTTCCTTTGCCGTGATGATGAGACATGTGCTGCTTCATGCGAGGAGAATGAAAGGAAATGATAGGTGCATTCTTTGGATTTGACGAAGAAAAGTAAAAGAGCATTGCATGAGAAATGACTACGACTTTCAATCAAAAGCAAGATGCCTGTACATGACATGAAAGAGGGGGAGAGGAGAGAGGGGAGAAGAGAAGAGGTGGTTGGAAAAGTAAAGCGTGGTCGATACCTAGGTTTTTGTTTTTCTGTTAATGATAATCATGGATCTCTAGTTGAATTGATTGTTTGTTCGACATTTTCCCAGAACATAAGTACTGGTAATAGTACATACGCCACCACTATAGTAATTCACATGATACACACACTCAGTAGTATATACAACCATCACCCTCATCCATCACCCTCATCCACCCACACAACAACCACTTACATATAATCCCAAGATTTAATTAATTATCATCCCCCTCCCACCTCTCCACCCTACCTCCCCTCTTCGCCCAATCCAACCAACTCCCATCATAAACCCCCAGCCGACCCGCCTCATACCCCGCCTGCTCCGCCAACTGCGCCGCCGCGCGCGCTCTCACCCCAGCCTTACAATAGAACACGATATCCGCGTCCTCTTCCTCCCCCTTCACACCAGGCTTGGGGAACCCAAACCTCGTCTCGAATTCCTCCGGAGTCAGGAACAGCGCGTCGGGCTGGGATGCTAGCGGCACGCTCACGGCCGAGGGGATGATGCCCGTGGAGGAGAGCTCGGCGGGCTCGCGCACGTCGATTAGAATGATGGGTTTTTGGGTCGGGCTGTTGGGGGTGTTGCTGGGGAGGGAGGCGGTTATCTATTTCTTTTTTGTTAGTTTGGGTGGGTGAGTGGGAATTGTGGTGGTAGGGACGTACGTCTTCAAAGCCCCATTGGCGGAAGGTGGGGGAGTCGTTGTCTTTGGTGCTTTTTTGGCGGATGGATGGAGAGGAAATCAGGGAGTGGTGGTGAGGGTTGATGGCAGTGGTCCTTTTGGTGATGGTGTTGGGGAGGAAAGTGGAGGATCTGGTTGTGAAGGGCCGGGTGGAGGGGATAACGGTGCTGGTGAGGAGGGAGCGGGCGAGGTGGGTGGATGGCTTGGAGGTGGAGGTGAGAAGGGACGTGGGTGCCCGGCGGAGGGGGAGGAGAGAGGCCATTGTTGTTGATGTTGTTGTTAGCTTTGAGCTCTGAGTTGGAGATGAGGTTGTTGGTGTTGCTGATGCGGTTGCGGATGGGGAAGATAGTTGGGGGTATTCTGCGGAAGTTAGTGTGTGGTTTGATATTGGGTGGTATCGGCTGTATGATTTTCGAATAGAAGATTGTGTGTGTAGAGAAGTACTTACCCCAGATAAAGATGACTTGATATGTCTGGGTTAGATATAGGCAAGTTGAGAAAGTTGTCGAGCTGATAATGCTTAGAGTGACAGCCGATATCCGACGGATGGAAGTCCGGCTTCGGGTGATGTCAGTTGCGGTGTTGACCGCCTTCCATTTATAGTTTATATAGAGATGGATCTATACTACATGTTTAGATATATTCGAAGATTGAACAGTCTATTCGAAAGTCTCTTGCAATATTCTGAAAAGGTACTCATGTGCAATATATGTCTTTCCCCACACCCACAACATCAGCAATCATCGCACCCATCACTAAGGCCCGGGCCATTATTCCAGCCGCACGGTTTATACAAACCGTTTGCCAACACTTCAACGCCGTGCCATTAAGCAAGAAGCTAGACAAAAGAAGGACATTTTGCACCGTATTAGGGATGCGGGGATTCTTGCTGCCCTTAAGATATATCTTCGCGGGATGTTCGTCCGTACAGTCCACTTGGAACTCCTCATTATCTCGCCACTTTTGCTGTTTCCAACGTAGCAGCACTTCATCTGCTTTAACTTGTAGGATCTTATCGACTTCGTGTTCCTCCTTACCGTCGACCATCACCGGTGGAGCAGATGCTATGTCCGGCCTCATACTCTTGAACTCATCCTCATGCGCCTGTTCAGGATGCACCACGCTAATGATTGGATGGATCGCCCAATCCTGCGGAAGGCGCAGCTCGCAAGCCAATTTTCCGACGCGTCGGACTATTCCGAAGGGACCACGCTTTACGGGGGACAATTTGGAAAAGTTCGGTAACACATAACCTATACCCGTCTTGCGAACAACCTTGAGCCAGTGTGTCTCCCATTCCATCGGGCCAATTCCATCAGATCGTTCTGCCAACTCCTATAGCTTCATGTTGTCAACCCAAACGAACTGGACTTTACCCTGTTACTTATAGGTGCTTGCTTCGACTGTCTTCTGAAGTGGCATTTAAGACGCAATGAGACTGTCCAGGGGAGATATATGCGCCGCTATATGCACAGTAGCTGGGAAGAGACCTCTGAATCCGACATCTGGGGAAGCTCGCAGTAATAGTCAGTAATCCTTTGAACGCACGGGTCGGTTACTATCATATCATCAGTTTGTACCCACCAATTCCGGACAGATAACCACCACCACCAGAACATAAGACCAAGGAATATAGCAGTCACATATGTAGCAACTATGTAGCTAACCATAGGCCCCCACCATGGTGTGTCTATGATATTTTGTTCATCCTAGCATGGATAGCATAACACGATTTGGGATGGTAGGTAAAACGAAAGCGCTCTAGAGATATCTGGCATCCTAGTTGAGAATACCTATATTGTTTGTTCGGAGTGCTGTGGCCTCTTGTTACCCCTACTATCGAGGATATCAATTACCAGGTTTTCAATCCGGCCTGCTATTCCGAACGCCATAATTGTAGATGAAAGGATTTTAGCAATGATAGACCTGAATTTGGGAGTGTGAGTTCAAAGGGTAATTTGTTCATAATAAAAGAGCGTGCTAATCTTCTTTCTTTGCTAGAACCTATCGGTCACGCAAATCATATTTTGCCCAGTCAATGCGCGCATTTCGATTTTATAGTCGGCTGATCAGATTCCCGACTTCACCATCAATCTCACAGCGCTCCTTCAGATGATTTGTGGCTTCATCTGTTTTTGGGTTAAATATATAGTTATTGAGAAAATAAATATTATTAATGGGTGATAGTGTCTCTCAGGACTCTCCAGGACATTCAAAAAGACACCTCAATGACCCTGAACAGAGTGTTCTCGATGGCGATTTATAATATCTTGGTGATTCATTTTCAAGTCCAGTCTTCGTGTGGATGTGGTGGATGTGGACCACTGGTCAAGCTGATTATGGTAGACGTGGTGGACATGGTGATGGTAGTGGTGATGGTGGAAGATAAATATACCATGGGTAGATGGACTAATTGACTCTCCATTCGCTGCTTTAATTTCCCTTTTTCGTACGTTCGAGCCTTCCAGTCTCGGCCATTGCATATCCCTCTACTGAGATGCCCTGTGCCAGTACTTCTCTCGGGATATCCCTTTTCTTTACTCATAGAATAGAGGATAGTTCCCCATAAAGCACCGGCATTTCCTGAGTTGAAAACTGTTCCCACATCGCCTCAGGTTCCACACATACTTTGCCCTTGCCTCTGCTACCTGTATCCAGATGCAGGCCTCTTCAAGCGGTGATTCAAAGAGAATGCGTATTTCGGCCTGGATAGTGTGATCATCCTATCTTTTTTTTCCGCCCGTGGGCCTGCTCGACTTCAACCATGATGGCCAGGAACCGGGACGGCTTCTATGTATTCATGATACGCTCTCGTAGCCCTGCTCCGCTGCTGTAGTATATCAGATGAATCTGATCTTGGCAGGCCTACTTCAAAATCACCAGCGACCACCACGCCCAATGGGCCTAGTATGCTCTCTGCCTGCCTGTATCGGCCGCCAGTTGTATGACGGGGAGTTTGATCTTCTGCAATCCGCGCATTTTGTGCACCTGGATGCAGAGAACGTGCCTGTTTCTAATGTTGCAAGAGTGCAAGCATTCGTCTTTGGCATGAATTTCGAAGTCACCGCCCAGTATCCGCCCCGGCGAGTGATGGTTGAGCTCCTGTCGAGGTCTTTGCATCGATCATGTTCTGATGAACTAACTGTATGGCAGGAAAGCCAACTTAATAAGGAGACGCGAATTTTTCAGAGTTGATGTGTACCTGTAGATATTGAGAAAGAGAGAAGAGTCCCCGAGACCAGTATCAAGGTAGAATATAGTGATTGATTTGTGGTAAAACCATCCGCAATGGTATATCTTCCAAAAAGGAGATCTGATCGAGGCAGTATATGACTTTAGCGTACCTTATACCCAATGGGCTCCTCCACGCAGTAGCCTACTGGGAGAAAATATATAGTTAGTTAGTAGTATATAGGGCTCAACTAGCGGCTTCACCTCCCTTGCGAAGCCGTGGCCATTCAAGGAACCGCTCAGGCTTTAGCAAGAACTAATCGCCGACCCTCTGCGTCCTATAACGTTCTTCGTTCACGAATGATCATCGATATACCGCATTTGAATGAAGGAAAAGGAACAAGGACGGAGCACAGGCATCAAGGACCCGGCCCAATGTTCAGTGATAGTATCTGATGGTATTTTAGCTCGCACGAGTTTCAAATACTTCGTAAACTCGGCTGATCCCTCGATGATTGCGATGGCTTGCCCGTATGTAGTATCAAGACCAAAGTTGCCCATTTTACCAGTAGGCAGCAAACCTTGAAAAATCAATGTCCAGAAACTCAGGAAGTGATGTCAAGGAACAACATAATTGGATTAATCCATGGACCTGTTTCCATCCCAATATCTCTAGAAATATTGTTCTCCCAGTGCCTCCATCAATGAGGACGACAGAAGAATCACTCTCTACTTTGAGTGATTGGAATATACTCCTTGGCAATGCTTGCAGCTATCATCGACATCACTGCTATAACCGAGAATACCACGTTCACTGTCGACATTGGCATCACCGTTGATGCCTGATACCTTTATTATCGCAGCGATTCTTGGAATCGATGCACAGGTATGCATGTCCACTTCTGAATCTCCATCGGCAGTGTCCTATGCTATATCCCAATATGTAATACTTCAGCCTGTGGTGTTATCGACGGCCACCCAACAAGCTTCAAGAAAGATCTCTTGTCCATGCTTTTGTTCTATCCCAGCCATCTCTGGACAGTAAGGGCTTTAAAAAGGAACCACATGTGCTTCCCTTTCACTTCCACCTAGCCTAGTAGCTAATACTAGCTGGTTAATATGCACCCGTCCAGATGATCGGCATTTCTGGCAGGGTTGTGTTGATTGTTTGGACGAACACTGTGTAGATTTGTATTTTATTCGGTAGATGGGCGCAAGCATAGTGGCCACTAGGGGGGGGGACGCCAAACATGCCTTCTTTGTGTTCTTCTAGTTCAGGGTATGTCATTAGAGGGCAGACGGGAGCGGTAGCATGCCGGTTGGTTTGCCTTTTGTCTATTGCATATTGTATATAGATTTGTTGAAGAGAGTAGGTGTTTTGTAGGCAGTAGTTGTTAGTGAGGAAGCATCTTTATTTGATGTAGGGTTTGGATGGGCAGATTGCTATCGCAGTGGATTTTTGGTAAATATAGCTGAGTAGGGAACGTAGTATGTGCTTGGAGAGATGGCCTTCTTGCAGGGCAGTGTATATATCGATGTTGTACCAGAGTCGGGTTGTTGGAGTAAAGAAAGTCTTTGGGGAGTGGGAGTGATGGGCTTTATATACCATGATGACTATGGTTTGGTGAAGGGACGTGGTAGTGATGGCAAGGGCTGGATGTGAATCCTGACATGGTAATTGAAGGACTGGTGGAAGAAAACCTATTCAACTACATCTTTCACATAGGGCTAGTGATGGTATTCTATTCCCTGGCTAGCAGCTCAGATGTCACATTATTATTATTAAGTCTAGGTAGCGTGGTCTAAAAATGACATGTCCTTCAATGCGTCGCTCATCGCGGGAGCGGACGACCGCAGATGGATCGTTTCGATATCATGTTACTCCAGACACCCTGTCCGCGGCGTCGGTGCCTCCAACAGACAGAGGCCAGTGGCCGTACCTCAAAGGTCGACCGTCCGCAACTCCCATCCAAAATGTTCAGAAAGGATTTGGAAAAAGGAAAAACAATACTAACAAGTAGTTACATTTCAGAAAGGCAAAAGAAAAAATGCCTGCAGCCATTCTATCACCAGGACAGAAGAGGGTGCCCGTAGTCACGAAGCAGGCGCCTGCTTTTTTCAGCAAGGCAGGAGAATCCGGCATAACTGACGTTGCAGCGCCTGACGTCTTTAGTACTTTAGCGAAGACGGCAGAAACGCTCAAGGGCGGGGACGGAATGCAAGCAGGCAATCATCCTGGACTTCGTTAGCTTTCGATTCGTTTCGGTATAGCGCAAGGAAACATACCTGAGGGAAGATCGTGGCAAAGACCTTGATGTCTTCCGACTCGGGAGTGGGAGTGTGCTCCCAGTCCATCTCCATACTGGCCTTGCCAATCATGGCCATCAGGTTCAGCTGGGCGTAGGTCTGACCAAGGCAGTAGTGGGGACCGGTACCGAAAACGAGCCAGTTCTTGGTCTGCTGCTCGGCGGTACCAGTGATCCAGCGATCAGGGTCGAAAGAGTCGGCGTTGGGGTAAGCCTCCTCATCATGGCAGGCGGGCCACACCGAGGGAATGATCATGGAGCCCTTGCTCACGGTGACGTTCTCGCTAATGGGGAAGTCCTTCTTGACCAGGTAGGGAACCATGATAACGGGAGGGCGGTAACGCAGAGTCTCCTTGACGACAGCACGAGTGTAGGGCAGCTGGTCAAGCAGCTCCATGGTCAGAGGGGCCTTGATATCACCGTTGCGAACGGCCAAGTTCTCCTCGCGGACCTTGTCAAGAACATCGGGGCGGTCGGCCATGAGCTGGAACAGCCAGGTAGAGGCAGCACTAGTGGCATCCTGGGAGGCGAACAGGAAGGTGAAGACGGTCTGGGCGATTTCGTAATCGGTGAAGTCACGCAAAACCTGGGCGGGCTTTTCACTGGCGTCGACTTGGATACCCTGAGCGATCTTCTCACGGTACTTGGCGGAGTCCTGCTGAGCCTTGACCCACGCGTCCATGATACAGGAGATTTCTCCGCCAGCAGCCATGCGAGCCTTACTCTTGGCAGCACAGTTGGAGAACTCGGCCAGAACCATGTCGGCGGCCTTCTTGCCGTACCAGGCCTTGGTGTAAGGCAGGATGAAGGGGAAGTTGACCAGCT